ACCATGACATATATACACAGTCCACGTACATAACACATGGCTCCTCTTTACACTGCTACACCATGACATATATACACAGTCCACGTACATAACACATGGCTCCTCCTCACACTGCTACACCATGACATAAACAGTCCAAATTCAGTATACATACTCCTAATTAGAGATGAGCCAGGGCTTGGCGTAAACCCAGTTTGCCTGAGTTTGCCCAAGCCCACTCAAAACTCTGGCTACCACCCCTCCTCCTGATCCAATCTGTAGTGGTATTTGTTGCGGGATCGTTCCCGGACTCTTTGTGACGTATAGCTGCAGGGAAGGGGGGATGCTCCTCTCCACAACCAATTGGGTTGGTTGGGAGGGGGTGGCAATCAGAGTTTTGAACGTGCTTGGGGGAACTCAGGTAGACTGGGTTCACACCAAGTCCGGTCTCATCACTACTCCTCATCACACAGCTACACCATGACATGTGACAAAACAAATATGGCAACCGCGCAAAGCAATTTGTAACTAGCTTGGAAGTAAGGTGCACATGGAAATGCTTCCATGTTACAAACATACAAATTCTCCCAGCTCAGTCACTAGCTAGCCTGGTTGTTTGGACTGGAAGATTAGCCAACTAGGTCAGCTGAAGCAGATTGGGTGGTTTTGGGTTCCATATTAACTCCCAGCCAGCTCAGGGATTTTGCATCACCCTGGAACCAGTTTCTGTGTGTGTCAGACTGGGAGTTCCTGTGTGGTGAAATTCAGTCCATGTTTGGTGAGACACGGCCTGTGTGGCAAGAACTGTATTCGAAGTTAAGCCCCTGGGCAGCTGCAGGTTGGTCCAGGTCCATTAGCCAGGGACCCTGTATGTTAATAAGTCACCAAGTGGCAAGGTTGCCGAACGAATCCCTCATACATGGTGGAGGCAGGGTGCATCTGTGTAAGCAAGTGTTGTTAAGGCCAGCATGGAAGAATTACTGAGAGAGCCTGTTTTGGCAAACACCAATCAACAGCAGGTAAATACTGGGCAAATGAACAATTGCAATAAGCTTTGCAGCAGAGATCCCCAGACAGGGCCTTACAGCCCAATAGCAAAGCCCAAAAACAAGCCAAAACACACCACATGGAATTTCTGTTACAGCAGAAGCAGCTATACCAGCAACAAATTGAGGTAATAATGCAGCAACTTCCACAGAGACAGCAGGCCAATGACAAGAGTGGTGACAGCAATACGCTGTCTGTCCGAAGAAGCCACTTATTGTCAAAGATGAATGTGGATGATGGCCCTGCAATGTTTTTGACTACTTTTGAAAGGACCGCTGAAAGGGTAAGTGGGCCTGATGAACAGTGGACTTGACTGGTGGTCCCAGTAGTACCTGGAGAGTCCCAAAAGGCCTACTATGACTGTGGAAGTAAGGAACTATGCTCATCGTAAAGCAGAAACATTGGCACCCCTGGCTTTCCGGGGTAAATGTAATGCCATAGCCGGGAGATTGCGCTAGTGCGCATGCGCGGGTCCCAGTCTTCCAGGCTGCTGGAAAACATGCGCTAGTGTGTATGCAACGGAATGGACGTACGAATGTGGCGCAAAGGAAGTGACACGTCTCTCCCTAATACTGTAGATGGCCCTATTTAAACTGGCTTGCTCAATGGGTCAGTGCTGAACGGTCTTTCAGCTGTGAGTTTGATCTCCTGTTTTCTTGACCCGGATTTCCTTGACTACGCCTGATTGCTGCCTGCCTTGACCTCTGCTTGTTTCCTGGATTCGCTTCTGTCATCTCCCTTGGTACCGTGCTGACCATCTAGCTTTGACCCCTGGCTTGTTTGACTTTGCTCCTAGTTCCTGCTGCAGACCACGCTGACCTCTCCGCTTGACACCAGCCTGCTCATCCTCCCAAGGACCCAGTTGCTGGACTTCTACCAGGCACCGTGTCTGAACACCTTGGCACCCGTGCTCCTCTCCTCAGCTAATCGGTCCTCCACCAAGATCACAAATCTATGATCTCATTAATCTGACCATGAATTGGCTGGTGCTAGAGGATTTGTCAGGACCACAAAATGTTGAAAGTGTGGTCATGGAATAATGGGTGAGCAAAATACATCCAGAGACAGTGAATTAACTTGTGCACCTGATTGAAAGGTACCTAAGCACTGAGAAACTATCCTCCCGTCTCAGGGACTCACAAACTTTCCACCCCAGGACCAGACCATCCCTAGCTGTGGGTAAGATTGTACCAAGGAATGGGGGAGGAGAGAGTGAAAAAGGGGGAATTAAAGGTGCTGTGGGGACTCATTCCAATGTCTGGTGGGAGTGGCCTGGAAGGCCAGTTCCTCAGGAGGCAGCTGTTACCGCTGTCGGGAAGAGGGACATATTCCCTGGCTGTAGATGAGTCAATGTACTGTGATTTTCTAAGAGACAGATGTCCACCGCTATTCATGATGGTTGCATGCATTGCAATACGGGGAAATTAGAAACTTTTATGCAAAATGTGAATAATGGTAAAAATGTCATATTGCTGGATTCAGGTAACATTGGTTGAAGCTGAATTAATGTCTACAGACATTAGAGAGTATCCTGTGGGGCAATGGTGTCCTTTGAGACCTAGGAAACCCGTGTCATCAAGTGGGTATGGTTTCCTACCTGCCACATGATGCCATTGTGGGAAGGGATTTCCCAATATTCTGGGCACACTTGGATCGCCCAGATCACCCATCATTTGGTTCCTCAGAGGTGAAGGAGATCCTAGCAAACCCTCTGATAATCATGAGGAAGCTCCTGAGGTTCCTTGTCTGTGTTAGCAGGGGATGCAACGCGTCCTGGTGAGAAGCCTATATCCTCACAAGGGAACCAACAATGGGAACCAAAACAAGAGGGTTGCCTTCCCAAACTTCATCATCCAAATGGACCTATTACACTGTGTATCACAAAGGACAAGAGAAGAACCATTGATCAGCTGGTGGTGCTCAGACCTTACCTGAAAATTGGTAATAGAGTTGACCCATGGTCACCTTCTAGGATGGCATTTGGGGGCAGAGAAAACCCCCCAAAATATTACAGAGATTCTATTGGTCTGGGGTCGGTAAGGAGGTAGAAAATGACTGTTCTTCCTGCCCTGTGTGTCAGATATCTCCACCAATGCCACATTTCCATAGCCCTTTGATTTCCATCCACATCAGAGAGGTCCCCCCTTTCAAGAGGACCGCTATAGACTCGGTCAGCTCTGTGTTGAACTTCACTAGGGGGCATCAACATATTCTAGTCATGATGGACTATGCCCCCCCCCCCCCGTTATTTGTAAGTGATCCCTCTCTGAAGCAATAGCCAAAGAGCTATTTCAGGGTTTCAGCCAGGTGGGCATTCCCAAAGCGGTCCTTACAGACCAGGGTGCCCCCTTTATGTCTGAAGAGCGTTGCAAACTAGGTAAGGTGACGCAATTTCGTACTTCAGTGCACCATCCTCAAACAGATCAGCCAAAAGGTTCAACAAAACTTTATTCAGATGTTACAGAAAGTGGTGGATATGTGGTGGGGATGTATGTCACAGCGGGCCAATAAAACCGCCTGGTTGTATCCAGCACGGGAAGCGTGTATGTCCCAGATTCTGACAGTTTTCTTTTTGGTTATTTGGGGGAGTTTTGGTTGTTTGGACGGGAAGATCAGACAACGAGCCCGGCTGAAGCAGATCGGGTGGTTTTTGGGTTCTATGTAAACTCCCGGCCCGCTCAGGGATGTTACTCCACCCTGGAACCAGTTTCTGTGCGTGTCAGACCGGGGAGCCCGGTCAGGTCCCGGTGGTGGAAGTCAGCTTATGTACCTGTACCTGTAATGAGTGTACATGTCATGGTGTGAGGAGTGTGTACTGTACCTGTAATGAGTGTACATGTCACGGTGTGAGGAGCGTGTACTATACTTGGTGAACTCACATGCAGTTGATGTACAAAGACGACATACACTGTACACGGAGCAAAACATCTTAACATACATATATACATACATACATATATACATACATATATACATACAGGTACAGTACACGCTCCTCACACCGTGACATGTACACTCATTACAGGTACAGTACACACTCCTCACACCGTGACATGTACACTCATTACAGGTACAGTACACGCTCCTCACACCGTGACATGTACACTCACTACAGGTACAGTACACGCTCCTCACACCGTGACATGTACACTCACTACAGGTATAGTACACGCTCCTCACACCGTGACATGTACACTCATTACAGGTACAGTACACGCTCCTCACACCGTGACATGTACACTCATTACAGGTACAGTACACGCTCCTCACACTTTGATAAATTCCCCTCATTGTGGCATGTGTACACATCACATGTACAGTAGACACTCTTGCTCACACTTGTGGGGGGGACAGTGTTGCCCGTAGCAACCAATCAGCTTCTCGCTTCAGTTTGTTTAGAAAAGGTTTGGAAATGAAAGCTAGAAACTGATTGGTTACTATGGGCAACTGCTCCAGATTCTGTCTGCTCCATCTTTGATAAATTCCCCCCACCATGACATGTACGCACAATATAGTTGTAAAGTACACAGACTCACTCACCCCATGACATGTACACACATTACAGGTACAGTACACACTCGTGCTCACTCTTGGGGTGACAGTGTTGCCGGTAGCAACCAATCAGCTTCTCTCTTCAGTTTGTTTAGTTAAGTTAATGAACTGAGTTGCCATGGACAACTGCTCCAGATTCTGTCTGCTCCAGCTTTGATAAATCCCCCCCTCACCATGACATGTACACACATCACCGGTAGAGTACACAGACTCGCTGACGCGGTGACATGTGCACACAGGACAGGGATCATCTGATCCGGCGTGGTCCCCTGTGTCACGGTGGAGTCTCATTAGAGGAGAGTCATGGTAGGATGGCCGGAGATAATGAGGAGGATGTAGAAGTGGATGGTGTACACAGGCGGCAGGACACAAGGGGCCGAGGATAGGCTGGCCGGGGACAGGAAGGGCCAACCCTGCAGGCAGAGGGCCGAGGAGGGAGGAGGAGGAGGTGAGAGCTGCCAGGGAAGGAGGGAGGGAGGGAGACTGCAGGGGAAGGAGACACACCTCAGTTTAGAGAGGGAGAGCTACCTGCAAACAGACAGATCCGGGAGAGAGAGAGCAGACAGCTGCCAGGACCAGTGACAGGAACCGCCACCGATCCACCGCGGCCACCGCACACCCCGGAGACGCGTCCGTGCCAAGGAAGAGTAGAATCCCCGCCGTCACCCCTCCGTGTCTCCCGGACTCTGCAGGACAAGGTAAAACCATTCACAGCTTTCTCCTTTCCTAAACTTTACCCATAAATATATATATACTGTATATACACATACGTGTGTGTGTGTGTGTATGTATGTGTGTGTGTGTACCGGAGGAGCCCATCGTCCCACAGCTGCTCCCGGCAACGCCAGGTACACGTCTCCTTACATGTGGGTGTGTGTGCACTCGGGAGGCTGCTTCCTGCACACAGGTGTACGGCCAGCTGTTCTCCCCGTCCCACCTCTCATCAGACGCAACTAAACGACCACCGTTCACCCCGTTGGTGCCCCCCTCCCAAAAGCAAACCCCCGACCGCGTCGGCTTTTCTCAACGAGGGGTTTTGGCGTGAAAGAATAAAGCGCTCGCCGTCGGCCGCAGGTTGGGGAACCAGAAGATCACGGAGGGGCGATCGTTTTATTTTTAGATGATGGATGGCGCTCTGCAGCAGATGCGTGTACCCGCTGTTTAGGGCACGGCGGCGGGCGGGCGTCCCGGGAGGTGGTGCTGCGCGTCGGCCGTTAATCTTTATCTGCCGAGTACAGAGAATCATATAAAATTTGTCCTCCGGAGATGCTGAGAGCCATTTGCGCCATTCATTGTCATGTAGCAGGAAGTCTTAAAGGGGGTTTCCACTATCACTCTGTACTGCCTGACAATCCCATTGAGAGAGGTTGGAAGGACGGGTGTCCCTGTCCTGGAACCGTAGCAGCCCAGAGTAATGAATGGGACCTTCGGCTGCTGAGGGCCGTCCATCGACTTTATATCTGGTCGGGTCACCCCTGACGATCGCGGTTTCGGCACGCTCCAGGAAACGCGCGTTGCCAATTTCTGTTTGTTTTTGTAGTTTTACATTCGCTCCTTTTATCGTCATTTGCTATCTTTTTGGTTTGTGGGAAGCTGGTTCGGTTATGGTGAGGTGGCACGAAGGGACCAAAAAGGGGACCGGCTCTGTAATGTCATCCTTTGCATCACGAATCCTACTCTAGGGAAGCCGCGGTGTCCAGGCCTTGCACCGACGATGGAACCTCCGTATGACAAATGGAATACACTTGGGCTGCATACGTGCTATAGACCGGAGGTCCTGGATGGGGCACAAAGGAATGGTTTCCATGGCGTCCATTCGCTGTCTTTGACCCGCTCCCGCTGGCGTAGGGCATATATGTGGCGGCACAGTGGGTGGGCATAGAATGTCAAGCCGCGTATGTACATCGTACAGGTCAGCTGTTCCGTGCCGAGAACGTGCTCCCAGCACCGTGACCAAGCTGTCACCAGCAGTTGCCGGTCACCACTTGCAATTGGGAGCCAATGGGACGGCCTCCTTATCATTTGATTTCTGTGTCGGCCAATCTCAGTGATCACATGATCGGGAAGCCCGCCTCCAACTCCCAGCGTTAAGATTCCCCTTAAAGGGTGGCAAGGGGTTAAAGCAGGGGTGGGCAACTGTTGTGGAACTACAGGTCCCATGAGACATTGCAAGACTGTTACAGGCATGACTCCCAGAGGCAGAGCTATGATGAGAGTTGTAGTTAAAGCTGGAGGGCTAGAAATGCCCACGTCTGGGTTAACGTAAACCTGAGGACAAAGCAACAGGTTCACTTTAATGGCAGCTGTCCATACTTCCCTTCCCTCCCTTGTTGCTCCATTGAATTGGGTAACTGAACTGACTCACCCGGTACTTCCAGATATAGAGGAACATGTGACATCATTGGTTCTTTGTGATTGGCTGTTCAGGTACTCAGTGCTACCACATGATGGTGGGGAGAGAGTCCTGACCCCTTTGGAAGCTCCAAGTCAAAATTTGTAAAGACCCTCATTGCAGGGTGGGCAGCTTCGGCCCTCCAGCTAATGTGGAACTACAAGTCCCATGATGCATTGCAGGACTCTGACAGTTACAGGCATGACTCCCAGAGACATGTTGGGATTTGTAGTCAAAGCACAGCTGGAGGGCCGGAGTTGCCCACCCCTGCTGTAGTGGAATACAATGTAATCAAGGAGGGCCCTGTTGAACACCAAACACTCTACGGGAGGGGTATCCAAACTTCGGCCCTCCAGTTGTGGTGGAACTAAAAATCCCATCATGTCTCTGGGAGTCATGCCTGTGGCTGTCAGAGTGATGCAGTGCCTCATGGGACTTGTAGTTCCACAACAACAGAAGTGTCGAAGGGTTGTACAGCTCGAGCGAACGGGCCCCTCGATTTTGTTTGTGATGGAAGCAATGAGCGTTGTCTGCATGCGATGCTGAGATAATCCCCATCATGCTCAGCTTATGAAGAGCAATGCTGGAGTATTGATCCACATTCTAATATCTCTGACCAGCTGTGGATGCCGCACATTGACTGCAGACTCATACACTGTGCCTTACACATATACCAGGGGGCTGCAGAGATGCCAGCCTATCCATACCGTAGGTTGCTGTACAAGGGGCCACGTTTGGGTGCTGCCTCTGATTGAGGACTCCGCCACCCGCAGTCCGGAGCTTCTCGTCCTCCTGACACATCTGCGTCCCATTTCAATGCAGATCTGCCACCCAGGAGAGAAGACAATGGCGCTGAGCCGCCACGGATCCCGTCCAATGCTGAACAATGGGCAGTGGTAAATCATTGGGTTCAGCGCCTCTGACACTGGAGAGCGGAACAAAAGCTCCATTAAAGTCTGAGCTGTAGACGTCGCCGTGTGCCTGGACGCTGCGGAGAATCAGTCCACGTGTCCGCAGAGCTATTACCGCCATTGTCATGGTAATCCAGACTTGGGGCGAGATCTGTTATTTATCAGCTGAATACCTGAGGACCATTGTGGTGGCAGAAGAGCCTCTCGGAGCTGAAGATCAAGTCATGTGATGCTTTAAACTTGATGTTCATCAGATCTGGCTCCGTAGTGGTCACCCATACTGGCTCCGTAGTGGGCACCCATACTGGCTCCGTAGTGGGCACCCATACTGGCTCCGTAGTGGGCACCCATACTGGCTCCGTAGTGGGCACCCATACTGGCTCCGTAGTGGGCACCCATACTGGCTCCGTAGTGGGCACCCATACTGGCTCCGTAGTGGGCACCCATACTGGCTCCGTAGTGGGCACCCATACTGGCTCCGTAGTGGGCACCCATACTGGCTCCGTAGTGGGCACCCATACTGGCTCCGTAGTGGGCACCCATACTGGCTCCGTAGTGGGCACCCATACTGGCTCCGTAGTGGGCACCCATACTGGCTCCGTAGTGGGCACCCATACTGGCTCCGTAGTGGGCACCCATACTGGCTCCGTAGTGGGCACCCATACTGGCTCCGTAGTGGGCACCCATACTGGCTCCGTAGTGGGCACCCATACTGGCTCCGTAGTGGGCACCCATACTGGCTCCGTAGTGGGCACCCATACTGGCTCCGTAGTGGGCACCCATACTGGCTCCGTAGTGGGCACCCATACTGGCTCCGTAGTGGGCACCCATACTGGCTCCGTAGTGGGCACCCATACTGGCTCCGTAGTGGGCACCCATACTGGCTCCGTAGTGGGCACCCATACTGGCTCCGTAGTGGGCACCCATACTGGCTCCGTAGTGGGCACCCATACTGGCTCCGTAGTGGGCACCCATACTGGCTCCGTAGTGGGCACCCATACTGGCTCCGTAGTGGGCACCCATACTGGCTCCGTAGTGGGCACCCATACTGGCTCCGTAGTGGGCACCCATACTGGCTCCGTAGTGGGCACCCATACTGGCTCCGTAGTGGGCACCCATACTGGCTCCGTAGTGGGCACCCATACTGGCTCCGTAGTGGGCACCCATACTGGCTCCGTAGTGGGCACCCATACTGGCTCCGTAGTGGGCACCCATACTGGCTCCGTAGTGGGCACCCATACTGGCTCCGTAGTGGGCACCCATACTGGCTCCGTAGTGGGCACCCATACTGGCTCCGTAGTGGGCACCCATACTGGCTCCGTAGTGGGCACCCATACTGGCTCCGTAGTGGGCACCCATACTGGCTCCGTAGTGGGCACCCATACTGGCTCCGTAGTGGGCACCCATACTGGCTCCGTAGTGGGCACCCATACTGGCTCCGTAGTGGGCACCCATACTGGCTCCGTAGTGGGCACCCATACTGGCTCCGTAGTGGGCACCCATACTGGCTCCGTAGTGGGCACCCATACTGGCTCCGTAGTGGGCACCCATACTGGCTCCGTAGTGGGCACCCATACTGGCTCCGTAGTGGGCACCCATACTGGCTCCGTAGTGGGCACCCATACTGGCTCCGTAGTGGGCACCCATACTGGCTCCGTAGTGGGCACCCATACTGGCTCCGTAGTGGGCACCCATACTGGCTCCGTAGTGGGCACCCATACTGGCTCCGTAGTGGGCACCCATAGTGGCTCCGTAGTGGTCATCCATAGTGGCTACGTAGTGGTCATCCATAGTGGCTCCTTATGGGGCCTCCTGATATACATTAAATACATGCATGACTTGTCAGAATATACAGAAACAGTATAAGACAGGGTTGGGCAACCTTGGCATGCCCGCTGTGGTGAAACTACAAATCTCATCATGCCTCTGTCTCTAGGAGTCATGCCTGTGGCTGTGAGAGTGTTGCAATGCCTCATGGGATTTGTAGTTCCACAGCAGCTGGAAGGCCGAAGTTGCCTACCCCATCTATAATGTTTCAAAAAAAGCTCCACCCGTAATCAGTAAAAGCCATCCTCGAGCTCCAATCACTGACTGTGCCTAGGCTGAGATGATGTCATCAGTCTGTTGCAGGCAGTAGGAAGCATTTCCTCAGTCTCCTCTCCCCCAGTGATCAGACTGCAACATTGTAACTTTGTAGCAAGTCACAAGGTAAGAGACTGCAGCGGGGGCTGATCTGTGTCAGACATTTGTGAACACAGCCACCAGGATTTACATGGCTGTGTCGTCTCTGAGTCGGCATCTCAGACCAAGAAGTAGATGGTGACCCAGGATGATGCCCTGCCCCTTGCATTCATTAAATTTCAGTTGTTTCAGTCATGGAGGCTCAGCATCACAT